CAGACTTTCTGTTTAAAGCTGCAGATGTGCCTCTTGTTAGTGGTGCGCAGGCCAGGGATCGCGGGAAAAAGCAGACTCTCGTGCCGTGCTATATTTTCATTATGGGGGTCATTATGGAGCATAAAGGCACAGTGATCCAAAGTCAGTTGTCAATAACAATAAATGTGATTGCCCCAAAGCATGTGTTGCTTTAACAAAGCTTTCAGTGTACTTGTAAGATTACCTTGAATATAGTTTTGCCAATACTCATCTATTGTAATAGCTTGTCTTTTCTGCTGCTGCCTCTGTGAAGTGATACAACATTCAGAACTTTTGATTGAATGCAGTTGCTCAAGAGCATCAGGCAGTGAGGATTCTCACAGCAGGCTACAGCAAATGAAAGTCTTCACTGTTAAGGTTGCTGCTAGTCTTAGTCTACGCAATCTGTCCAATATTTTGGTGCACACCCTAAAGCAGGAGTATTCTACTCCATTTGCCCAAGGGTTGGAGCAGACATGGTGGGGGCCGAACTAATAATGTTATTGTGCATGAGACACCTGTAGTTAAAAGCGGTTTAACACTTCAGGACACAGAATTCTGCGGGCAGCTAAGCAAACTACTGTGGTATTAATAAAGGAGTCAGCCTGTCGCCTGCAGCTCTTCATCGAACAGCCCACTGTGGCTGCTGCTTCTTTTTCCATTCCAACTGATCTGCTGTCAAAAAATGCCCAAAATGACTGTTGTCTTGCATTTTACATAAAACAATATTGGGCAGCAAGCATCACGAACAGAACACATTGCACTTAATGTGACAACTACTAAATAATAAAAATCAACTTGTGTTTTGCCAGTTAAATGCTTTAATGTGAATGCTGCAGCGGCAGTAACTAAATACGGCCTTTCTCTTGGAATTTAGCCACAGAGACCCAGTTTGTAATACTAAATATATAAATATTGAAATACTTTCATCAGTGGAAATCCTGTGGAATGGAAGCTTTGGTGGGCCAGATGTGGCCCTCAGACCTCATATCCTTTCTCAAGAGTTTCTCAAGACCTAGCGGAAGGGTATTAAATCAGAATTTGTGGAAGAGAATGACACCTATGATGACTGCTGTCTGTAATTTTAAGTCAGCGTTACCCTGGTTACAGAGACTCAAGACGCGCATTCTTTTAAAATGTCAGCAAATACTTACAGCTCAAGTCCACCTGTAAAAAGAAAGAGGTGGTCCAATTACAGATCTGAATGGCAGACGGTATTTTCTGTCGCTTGTGGATTTTTAAACATCTTTGCTTAAAATTATTATTATTATTAACTGAAACTGTTTAAGGACACACACCTGAAATTGTTTTCAACCAAACACAACTTGATCATATCATCACAGTACGATTTCACTGAAGGTTAAAGTAGCAAAATATGGCTATAAGTACATTTTGAAGGTTTTTGGTGTTAAAACAAAGACATTTCTAACTGATGTTGCTGTTTCCTCCTGTTTTTTTTATGTCCTTGCAGGTTCTACACCATCTCTGGCTCTTTAAGGGACAATTCACCAGCCAAAGAGGCTCATATTGAGATGTGAGATGAGACACTTTAGACTGTGCACCCCCCTTCTGGACAGTTCCCCTTGTTCCCTGCCCCCTGTGCCCTACACTTACCCAATCACACGCTGCCTGTCACCTGCTACGACGTCATCAGCCGCTCACGTCTGCTCACGTCTGCTTGTCTTGGCACCCACACAGAGTCTCCGTTTGCTTCCCACAAGCCCCCCTCCCCCTTCCTTGGAACCATATATTTTCCTACGAGGTTTTCCTTAATCTGTGGAGTTGACGTTGTCTTGACTGTTGTCTACAACATACAAGTGGCGTCTTTGTGTGAGCTGCTTGACTTTTTCAGTATTACAGACGCACATGTCTGTATAAAAAAAAAACAGCACACGTGCTACTAATTAACTAACTAGTGGTGTTCTCGTAAAACAGCTCATCTCAGGTTGACATCTGGGGCTATAACCTTGTGTATCCAAATCTTGCAAAACTGCGAAATTCTTTTCAACGTTTCTAAACCTAAACTGCAAAATGAAAAAAAGAAAACTCAACTGTAACTGTCAAGCTCAAAATTGTATTTTAACTGTTGTCTTTTGTACTCCTACACCTGTGGCTTGAATACAGCAGATATATATTTCAGAAGGCAATGAATCACTTCAGCTTATGTTCTCATCAGCCGTACAACTGCACACATGGAGACATTACTTGACTTTAATCAGTGACTTAAACCATTGCATTTACAGGGTATTGGCTTTCTGCAGCACTATTCAAAAACATAGTTGTTCTTTGGCAGCTCAAGGTTAAACCCATCACAAGAAAACACAGACAAGTGCACTTTACCTTCACAACCATTCAGTTTGCATTGATAGCAGTTTGATCTTACACACACACATATAATGGATTGCTGCAGAAAAACAGATGGACACAATATTCATTCAAAGTAAGATGTAATTCTTTCACTAACTACCAAATCTACAGTTTGGGCCATGGGTACAGGAACATTTATGGTTGATTCAGGGACCATTTTTAAATCTATTTATTGTTGGTTTGTTGTTTTTGCCACAGTGAGAAATGGCAGCATTGTTTCCATAACGCATTAAAGAAGTAGTTTGACGCGAAATATATCACTCGTGCCTGCGTGTTAAGCATGGCACAAAACAGGAGACAATTAGCTTAGCTTAGCATAAAGACTGGAAGCAGGGAGAATCATCTAAGGTAAGTTAGCCATGTAAAAAAATTTAATAATACGCCTACAGTCCCAACATCTTTAAAGCTCAAATTTTATGGCGATACATGAGAGTGAGAATTCTCGAAGGATTGCTACGATCTGCAAGGCACATGACCAACAGGGGTAATTGAGCTTGCTCTACAGCTAGCAAGCTGCTAGATAGCATGTCTACTGCCAACTGGTCACTATTGGCTGAACAATATATTACAATGTTATCTAAAAAAAAGACACTAATGGTGGGTTTGACAATATTTTTGATAGTTTTAGAATAACATAATGGACACATTTCAATAGGAACTGATAATTGAAAATTACACGTTTTACAGTGGTATTCATTATGTGATATTAGTCCAGACATTCTGAACAGAGCTGGTAGAAGTCTATTTCTGCATGGCAGACCCACACAGTATAGAATTTGGGGGGAAATTCTTCATTGCTGCTAACTCTTTTGGTGAATTTTGAATGAAAAATATGATAATAATGATGCAGGACAGTGCTTTACCACATGTTGTGCAAACTGTCTTTGATTGCTGTTAATTGGAATGTTTCTCCCCTTTCTCTACCCACTTGAGTTTGCAGCTACAGTTCTATGATAATACATCTTTAATGCAGAATTTACATTTGATTTTTAATATTTCTTTTTATTATTCAATTCTGAATTTCTATCATAGAAGTAAAAGTGGTGCTTGACGGGGATCTTACCAGTTTTACAAGCAATAACCCTAACCCTAAACCAGCTAACTAAGCTAGCTAGAGAAATGTGGCCTACATGTAACCGGTGTTTTTCAGGTTGTAGCAGTCAGTTGTGTCTCCCACAAATCTTCTCATACAACTCTTGGGGAGAAAGCAAATAAGGACACTTCCCAAAATATCAAAGTATTCCTCTAAAGCAAAAGTTACTTGGTTGAAGATTTTCCTGTTAGCACACACCTGGAGTCTTATTCATGACTATATCAATGTTTAAATTAATGTTTAATGTTCACTAATTCACATTTCTGGAATGAGGGAAAGCATTATTGGGTATCATAAATGAGCGTTAAGTGTTAAGCTTTTCAAAATGTCAACCTGTGGTTAAAGGAAGGAAGTTAATGGAGAGTATAGATTTTCTGCTAACGCAGAGAGGCTCACGAGTGCTCAAAAAGTTCAACAGCAGGGTTAGCTGGAATTAAATGGGTGGAGTGGGAAGAATCCTGTCTGAAGTCAAAAAGCAGCATGCAGCACCATGGTAAATTAAAGGTCGCTGCTCACATGTTTGAAGAGGAGCCAAAGGGTAATGAAGGCATAGCACATAGTAAAATGAGTTTAGTGTTCCACATTATAATAGTCCACAGTTATAACAAGTTTATAACTGTGGACTGTGAACGCTCAGGTTTATCTGTGTTGATTGTATTTGCTGAAATGTTGGTTGATGATCATGCCTGAGATACTTCAGCACGTAAGGTTCATATGTCAAGTGAAGACGTGAGGGCCATGAATCCACATTCATTCCCCGTTCTATGATACCAGTTTCTGCGTAGTAGTAGTAGTAGTAGTAGTACTTTACCCTTTACTCTGCTAGTTCATGAACAGTCAGTCGGATTTTCTTCAAAGCTTTAGATTATGTTCAACAATTTTTCACGTCCAGTGTGAACATATTTAAAAAATATCTGCACATGCCAACTTAAGTATGGTTAAGGTTAGGCAAAGATCATGTTACGGCAAATAAGCTATGGTTAAGATGTGGTTAGGGTTAAGGAGCTTGTTACTCCATGAGAACTGCCTGGATAGGTGTTCGGCAATTTTTTGCTTATGGAAACTGACCATCTGACAGTACGGTGAACATAATGACATAAATTGTGAAGGGCACAATCATCCAGTACAGATCTCATTGCTATGGCTACTGGGCTTGAAATTTGTTGCAATGTATTACTTATTATTTATATATATATATATATATATATATACACACTGAACAAAATTATAAACGCAACACTTTTGTTTTTGCCCC